TAGTAGCCGTGCAATGCAGGAAAAAATAAATTATATATATTTTGTGTAATAAATAAATTATCTTAATCTTAAATTATGTCTTAATAGCGGCAAATCATGATGTTAAGCCATCCGAGTAGATACTAACAATAATTAACTCACAAAATTTCATAATAAAATTTAATATGCATTAAAAATTATTAATTATGAAGATTGTTGGGAATAATAGTATCACAATCACTTGATAACATAAATAACTTGTATCAAATTATACAAAACATTAAAAAAAAAGAAATTCTATAAACTCAGAAAAGTTATCATAAATTTACTTAGATTTTTAAATCAGTGATGTATATTATTATTGTGGGACCAAATTATGAATAAATATATCAACTTTTAATTATAATTTATAAGTAGTTTTTAAAATTTTTTAATTTAAGTTTGTTACCTTACTTATAAAAAGAACTTCTCAAACAAATTATTAATTGATTCTGTTAACAACTTTCTATCATTGATCTTTTCTATCAATAACAAACACATATCATATCAAAGTATAAATCCTTCTCCATAATCATTTTCTTCATAATTTGAATAATACTTACATAGTTCCTACGTCATTTATAAAATAAAATTTAATCAAGATAAAAATTTTGTAAGATTATAAAAATTATATAAGAAAATGGTTTTAATCCATTTTAGTGATAAAAAAATGATGAAAAATTATTTGAATTGTACTTGAAGAAATATAACAAATAATAGCTTTAATCATTAAATACCAAAAAAAAAAATTATATAGGTTACTTAACGAAAAAATGATCGAATGTAACTAAAGTCATGGACATTGGAGTGATACAAGCCAATGCTCCTGCTGCATGTGTTTTTTGCAATTCTGAGCCTGAATCTTCTACTCATCTCCTGCTGCATTGCTACTTTGCTTGGAAGGTTTGGGCTGATATGATGGACTGGTGGGAGTTGAAGGGGGCTATTCCAGGTTCAGTAGAAGGTATACTTCACTGGTGGGCTGGTGTGTCTTTGAACAGGAAAGAAAAATGGATATGGAAGGTCATTCCCTTAGCTGTCATATGGTCCCTGTGGAAGCTTAGGAATGAGTGCATCTTCAAATCTGCTTCGCCTCAATCCGTGGACCTGTGTGAGTTGATCAAAATAAGAGTTGCACTGTGGGTCAAACACCGATTCAAGGACTGCCATTTCTCTGTTCAAGATTTCTTAATCAACCTGAGGCAAATAAGATTGAGTCTGGGGAGCAGATCTGCCTTAGGCAGCTGACATTGGGTTGGAGCTGTCTTGAGGCTGCTGCAATGGAGATGCTCCTGCTGGGGTATTCCTGTCTTGGTGCATTGGAGACCTGCTGTTCTGTCTAGTGGGCTGCTTGGTTGATAACTTTCCAACCTTATTGCCCTGTTGTGAGCTTTGCTGGGCTCCTGCTTTTGTTGATAATCAATGTCTCTTTGCTTGACAATTTTCAATAAATTTGCTTTGGCTGTTTCAAAAACAAAAAATAATATAATCTGGCTCTACTCTGGGTTGCTGATCTGGCTTTGTTATGGGATGTTATTGATCTTTATCAATAAAATTTGCTCTGGGCTGCTGCTGGTATGGAGTTTGGTGCTTACATTTGTTATGGGCTGGTTGCATCTGTTATGGGATTGTTTTGTTCTGATATGGAGTCTGCTGCTGATATGGAGTCTGATATGGAGTCTGCTGCTGATCACTGCTGGTATGGTGTTCGAGGCTGCTGGTATGGTGTTTGGGGAGTACAACTGTATTATGCTTTCTTTTGGGTTGGTGTCTTACCAACTGTGAGAGTTGTTAGCCTTTGCTCTATGCCTTTTTATTGAAAATTGTCAATGTTTTTGCTTGATATTTATCAATAAAATTCCTCTTTGGCTGTTTCAAAAAAAAGTCATGGACATTGAATTAAATCATATGGGCTTTAAATTGATAGTATAATCTAATAAACCAACTAATAATAATAGAGAGATATTGATAAATATGTAGGACTTTCCTATCATCTTTGTATTATATTCATTAATTTCATATATCATATGAAAGTTTTACTCGTCTCGATCCTTTAATAAAATAAGCACTAAGAAAATAAATTTGATAAGAAATTGGTTCTAAACTTTATTATTGAAAAAACAAAAATTTCAAAGATAGAATTTAGAGATGGGATTGAAGAAATACTATAATGAATAACAGCCTTATCAAAAAAAAAAAAAAACACATAGCAATGATCTATTGCAAACTGTAGCGCCCTCAAAATAATACATATAAACCCAACATTCATGATATACAAAGACAAGAGAATAAAATATATTTCCATTAATTAGAGCATTCTTTACAAAAATATTACATGTTGACAACAAAAGTAAATGCCCTATGGGCTTACAACTTTCCAAGCCAACACTTGGTTGCAAAAAAATGAGTACTAACTCAAATACACATTAAGCCCATGGCTTGAATTTACATATAATATCAAAAAGACAACAGAAATAATCAAAAGAGTCTTCAACTCTCAAGACCTCCCAAGCTGCGTCCTTAGAGGTGGCATAACATCTAAACCTGAAAATGATGTCCCATATAGGGTGAGCCAACGCCCAGTAGAGATATACTAAACATAATATGAGCAAAAACTAAAACAATAACATTTGATAAATGTTTAACTCATGCAAACAAACATATATATCTCTTTCCACTCTATTACCCAAACCAATTCAAAGATATGGTTCTCAATTCATCCAGACAGTTTATAACGAGCCTCCAACTCATATCAATAACACTTCAACAATTTAATTTCAAATGATACTACAACTCATATTATGATCATTTCAATACTTCAATTCATCTACGTTACGCAAACACAATTAGGATTTTGGGACTTTCACCCTGGACACTCCGGCCAACTTAGTTATCACTGGAGTCCATCCCCTATCTCCTCCCAAACCGTGGAGTACATCCCCTATCTTCTCTCAAACAACATACATATACAATGTATTTAAACACTTATCATATACAATGATCAAGCGAAACACATATTCAATGTATTATTTCATCCGTCATATTCAATGACATACTAATATGATTAGTTTTAATTCACCTAATCATCATGCAGTGTCTACAACAATCAAGACTATCCTCCACCAATAACCCAAAACATTTATTTCTAAACAGATAATAAATTATCAAACAAATAAATTATCTACAATTTCAAAGGTGAGTGATTAATTAATCAAACTCCACCATTAAATCTCATAATTACTCAATTTCATTATTTCTGCCTCAATTTCATTTTTTCATGACTTTCCCGAATTAAATTATACAAATTAATTCATCACAATAAATTAAGACTTTTCTCCCCATTTTCTCAACATTGACCAAAGGTCCAAATATCATCAATAAACATCAATACTCTCATTTTAGGACCCAAAATACACATAAATGGGTCAAATGAACAAAACCCCTCTTTATACATTTTGAAACCCTAACATCCAAAATTACCCAACTTCGACATTAAATCAAAAGGCCACATGTTTATATCAAAGACCATAAATATGAGTAGTTATCCCTACCTCAAATTTCGGAGCTTAAAGGAGAAGATGAAGAAATTCGTAGGTACTCCAAACCCAAAGATTTTCGGATCAAAATGTAACCCACACCAAGCTCAACACTTTTTACAAAGGGACTAGGGTAGAAGATCACTAACACTAGATGATTTCTTAGAGAGAAGATGTAGTCTAGAGTGAGAAGCTCTCAAGTTTGGATTTTGAAAAGCTAGAGAGAGAGAGAGTCAAAAAAATGACTAAAAATGCTAAAATTTTGGCTGATATATTACACAGTCCGCTCGAGCGTGGAACGCCTCGCTCGAGCGTCAGACACAGACTCCCGCTCGAGCGTCGAATGCACACTTTCAGAAGTTTTGCAAATGAAGGTCCCCGCTTGAGCGTGAAAGTGGACGCTCGAGCGTCCGATGACCTGCAGCGAAAAGTACTGAGGGTTGAATAATCACGCTCGAGCGTCAAAATTCTCGCTCGAGCGGAGGAACAAAAGCAAAGGGTCCGCTCGAGCGTCAAAAGCCCCACTCGAGCGTGAAGGCCAAAATCTGGGTATCAACTCTTGGTTTCCAAACACAACCAACCTGTTTTAAACCTGCCCAACACAACCCAAGACTCAAATACAAAGAGTAAAAGATGGAAACGAGAATAAGACAACAACACATCCACGGAGTCGAGTCCGAAATACAATTAAACAATGAAGGGAAAACCGGGATCGCTATACAAACAATTTTGAATAACTAATAGAAAGAATATCAAATTATTACCTCGGATAAATATAGTGACGAAAATTAATTTTTTGAGATTTTTGTGCTGCCTTCTCCCATGCAGCCTTCATTATTTTCTTATTAATACTCTTCTCATTCAGAGTGAACCAATTTCATTATTAATACTCTTTTCATTCAAAGCCAATAATTTTATTTTTTATTTTTTTATCTTTATCACTTGGTAGATAATAACAAATAATAAAAATTATCAAGAGAAGGTTAAGAATGTAAGAGGAGATAAGAAATTATAGATAAGGACATTTCATAAAATAAAAAGTCAAAAAAAAAAAAGAAGATAATATGTGACAGAAGGAGAAAAAAATATATGAGTAAATCAAAATAAAGATTTAGATATATATGTTTTTGGTAGATATATAAATTAACAAATCATATATTTATTTAAATTTTATTATTTTAATTTTTTGTAAATCAATTATTTAATCTTTATCTTTATATGTAGACCACGAAATTAATCTTTATAATTTATTTATCAATTTTATACATTTATTTATCTATAAGTCATGAAATTAATTTTTTTAAATAATTTTTTTAATTTTTATCTTTATCTATAGGTCATGAAATAAATTTTTATAAATTATAGAAAACATGAAAAATGATCAAACAAGGTTGCCACGTAGGAAAAAGAGAGTTTTAAAATTATGAGAATTTAGGAATAAATATGTTACCCTAGATCTGCTGCTTTTTCCGGTGTTTCACCGTCTTTTTGCTGTGGTTGGCATAGCTGGAGACAAGTAGGTATATGTAAGTCATATCCATTACTGGGATCGTGTGGTTCATGAGAACTTCTATTTATGTCATTTTTGTCCTTTGCTCCATAAACCTGAAACACAAACCTTTTAGGCTTAGAGAACAACTTTCACATTGGATGGATTTGTAGATGAAACAAGGTTTGCGAGTTGTTCAATTTAAATTGACATTTGAAGTTAATACAAATAGTCATTACCTTCTTTTGCAATTCTGCATTTTCTTTTCGCAGGGCGTTTATCTCTTTAAACAATTTCATATTTTCTTGATGAATAATAACTCCCTGCAGTTGAATCATTTAAAGTTAGATACTCCAAAATAAAATCTTCCCCTGAACAGAAACTGGTACTCATTGTGGGCAAATTTTGAGAAGACCTGGTGGTTTACTTCTTTTATTTCATCAGTTAAAATTTGGTTCTGTAGAAGTCAAAAACCATAATAAGGATCATACATATGCTTCACATTATGTGACATGAATATCACCAAACAACAAACTGCACAGTAGCTAATTTTTTGTACCTTTTTTGCCCGGATACACTTCAAGCTTGTTTCCAATTGGCTTTCCAGATTTTCCAGATCTTTGACACTCAAACCAGAAAGTTCTTCTCCCATCAATTGCCTGAAATTGTTATCACATTGAAGTGTAGGTGCGTCCTCAAATGGTTATACAGAAAATATTTTATTTTGTAATGTACAAGAGAGCACTTTATACTTAGTTGCATCACCTTTTCTCTGGCTTGTGTACAAAGGATAAAGTCTGAAGTTAACCACTTTCAAGTGCTAGCTAATTTTGAAGTTCATACCTTATAAATGGCATTGTTTTAATGTTTATTGCTTAGTAGCAGGAAACTCCTACTTGGGTAACGTTTCTTACTAAGAAATGCATTTCTATGCTCCAAAGTAGAAACTTTCTCCCGTCAAGAAAAAAACTCACTCAAAAAGTTTGCGAACGACACAAAAACTCTCTCTCTCTAAAAAAAAAACCTCTCTTTTTTCTCTCTTTAAACCTCCTTCTCCGGCCTCTTTTTGGGCTGGCCGGCCGCCGCCTTTGGCTATGGCGGTCGGCTGGCCTCGCTTGTTTCAGCGGTAGCCTTGTTAGCTCTCTTTCTTTCAATAAACTTGAGTCCCCCATTCTTCCCACCTAGGTGTGTTGCTGCGGGTGAGTTTTTGCTTTAGGAGCTGCTTCGGTTGGTCATCAGTTTGTCCTCTTGTGTTTCAACATTGCCGTAATAGCCGATTCTTCAAGGGCAGCCAGGGATTTCATTCGAGCGCTTTTGGCGAGTAGGAGTTTGAGGGGTGCGTTTTTGGACGGAAACAAGGGTATTGTAGGTGATACAGTTCTGTTCGGTTGGCACTCGTGCGCTCCTCCTTGAGGGAGAGTTTGAGGGGTGAAGTTGGGTGTTGTTTTTGTGGAGTTTGGCAGTGGGTGTTGGTCTGTGGAGTTTGGCAGCAGAGGCAAAGGTGTGGGTTTTGGGTGTGAGCGAGAAGAAGGCCTGGGGGGGTGGGTTTCGGCAGTGGGTGTTCCCGGGCAGTGGGTGTTGCAGCAGGGGTGTTTTTCTGTCGGCAGTGGGTGTATTCGGCAGTGATTGGTGTTCCCGACAGTGGGTGTTGCAGCAGGGGTGTTTTCTGTCGGTGAATTCGGCAGTGGATGGTGTTCTCGGCGGTGGCTATGGTGTCTCCTCGGCAGAGGCGTGCCTAGAGGTGGCGTGGACAGCAGCTTCGAGTGGGTGGCTGAAGTGCAGAGGTATTGTTTCTTGCAGCAGAGGCGTGCTGGGTCAGGTCACGCAGCAGAGGCGTGTTGGGAGTTGTAGATGCAGAGGAGTGGTTTAGTGTTGTTAGCTTATTTTGGGTGATGGGTTAGTTCATTTAGTTAGTCATGGGTGTTTTTGGTGGGTTGAGTATGTGGGGATTCTTGTATTTTAAATTCTCTAGTTAAGTTCTTCTTAACTTTTTTGGTTAAAAAAAAAAAATCGAGAGGCTTAGGAGTTGGTTGTATGGATGCGAGTAGCAGTAGTAGGGGTATTTTTATACTTCCGAATTTCTCTCAATGCATGTCATCTTCCTGTACTTTTAATTTCATGCTATTTAATGAAATTTTTCTTTGCTGATAAAAAAAAAAATAGATGTTATAATGCACAAACTACACAGCATAACCTTTTTCTACTTTGTCATACCAGAGAACTCAAATCCATGTTGGAGACCAAGCCTCTATCTCTATATTTTCAACATTGAGAGGAAAGGCCCAGTCTCTCTCCACTTTCATGTTGATCACCAACAGAAGTATATTTTTGTGTTGTGTCCTTTAGCATAAATTATCAAATCATCCTATGCTTCTAGCATCTCTGACATGACTAAAAAGTATAATATATCTAATAGATGAAGAAAAATATTCGAGGGTGAATTACAGTAGTAGTCCTTATAGTTTGGGGCTTGTGTCATTTTGGTACCTAACTTTTCAATTGTGACATATTTGACTTTGAATTTTGAATCTTATTCCAAATAAGGACAATTGAAGATATCATTAGATTTTCTAAGAGTAAAATCATCAATTTGATAAAATATAAACTAATTTGACAAAAATAAATGTCAAACAAATATTTTTGAATTTTTAAAAATTGTTTCTACCCACTAAAAATAAAATTATGTAAAATTGATAAATTTTTTAGGCATTTATTTTTTTTAACCAAATTAATTTTTATTATGTGTTTGGATGATGATCATGTAAAATTAATTTTTAAAAATTAATCATGTAATTTTTATTAATTTTTGTCAATTTTACATAATTTTATCACTCGTGGATAAAAATAATTTTTAAAAAATTAAAAATATTTTTTTGACATTTATTTTTGTCAAATTAATTTATATTTTATTAAATTGACAATTTTGCTCATGAAATTAAATAATGGTATCTTCAATTGTCTTTATTTGAAACAAGATTCAAAATTCAGGGTCAAATGTGTTACAATTGAAAAGTCAGAGACCAAAGTGACACGAGTCTCAAACTATAGGAACTGTTAGTGTAATTTGCCCAATATTCTAATGTTGAAGCCATTCGGAAATTTTATATAGTTTCTCTCCCACACGATTCTATCACAATTTTATTTAGTCTAGAGATACAAAATACTTTTTAAGAAGCACATGCAATTTTATTTCAGAAGGAACTAATACGTTTAGAATAGCTCAACATAGGTGCTAACAGTACCATCTGGGTGAAAGGCAATTGATCATACTCCTATAACCTGGAAGAAAAAAAATGAAACAAGAAAATTGTGTGGAAAAAAAAATTCCATCTCCGACCACTAGCAGTGAACTCAACAACTTGTCCCTGCAATTTCTAGTTGAAGAAAAGGAAAAATTAACGCTTTATATGACTTCAGTAGGTAACTAAAAAAATATAAACTTTCACAGATATTCAATTATAAATTATCAATGAGTTTAGGGTCACACAACCCCAATACCTCCTTCGATCTGGTAGATCCAATCAGTTCCAATGTCTCCAAATCCCAAAACTTCACTGTCCTGTCTGTTGAACCTGGAAAATAGCTCACCCATGACTATAACTTACCAGGGAAATAAAAAAGAAAGTAAAAATAAGAAGCCAATTTAGAGAACAAATGAGGCAGGAAATCTTATATAATCCACTTCAATTCTATTCAATAAAAAAGAGCAATCTCGATATAGAAAAGAACATTGTTGTAATGAATGGTGTTAATTGAATGTATATATGAAAGACAAGGGGTTTTGTATGTGGTTACAGATGTACATAAACAATTTCAATGATATTAACAAATCCAAAATTAAAAAAATGAAAATAAATAATAGATTGAAACGAAACAGAGAGAAAAAGAAGGGTGCATAAGTCTAAATGAAGTATGTGTTTGGTGGCTGTGAAAATATGTGATTCGAATGGAAAAGGAAATTGATGGAGATGTGAAACTGGGAAAATGCGAAGAATTGGAAGGAAAATGGAAAAGAAGAGGACGATTAATGCAATAAAGAGAGAGAGAGAGAGAGAGAGAGCATACAGGCGTCGTCACTTGCTGAGTGAGTAAGAGAGGCGCGATTGAGACTGACTGCTGTTAGCTGTCGTTGCTCGCTGCTTGCTGCTCACTGTCGTCGCTCCTCGCTGCTCGAAGCAAAATTCCATCGTCGTCGCTCACTTGGGATTTTTGCTTCAAAGGTTTTAGGGATTTTGGGGAGAGAGCTCAAATATGGATTTTGGGGAAAATGAGCGCGAATGGGCTAAAGGAGTGGGATATAGAAAATTTTCATTACTTTTTGCGACGGCATATTTCAACCGTCACAAATGATGAATCTAACAAATAAAACGACGCTGTTTTAATAAAAGTTTTTTTGCGATGGACAATTGCCGTCACAATTTGTCCTCTATTTGCGACAGTAAATTTTTCCCGTCTCAAAAAGGTTTGTTTTGCGACGAGATGTAAGGCGTCGCAAATACTTTCGTATTTAAACACACCTTTTCTTGTATGTTTATTTGCAACGGGTCACTGGCATCGCAAAAGGTATTTATTGGCAACGGTTGAAAATGGCGTTGCAAAAGACTATTTTTTGCGACGGGATAATTGCCATCGCAAAAAGTTCCGTGTTATTTATCCTCTTTTCTTGTAGTGTATTAATTTTTTGTGGGGCAATATATTGTTAAATTTGAAGTAGGACTTTATGGAAATTCATAAGCTCTAACAAATTTTGGATCGGGTTTGGACTAAGATATTGAACAACTCAAAACTCAAATTACACACACACATATATATATATTAGTCATTCAATGATATTAAAACTATGTAGACCGTTAGATTATATTCATTATATATCATTTACATAAGTAATGTAATGTAAAATCATATAATTTCCTTTTCCCACTTAGAAATAACAAAAACTACCAGAACGATGTATCAATTTCTTGATTTTTCTCACATCCTTGTCTCACTTTCACCGTATAAAATATTTTTTATGTTATTAATGAGTGTACCAACAAAACATATTAATAAAATCTCATCTTTAACAAATAATTAGCCTAGCTGGAAAAAAAATCCTCAATTTTGTAGACAATTCAAACCTAGAGTTTAATTTATTCACTACAACATAAAAGTTTTAGAAACCAAATGTTTTGGTCTATAAAAGTGAAAATTTTGTTACAAAAGACATTTAGGGACTAATTTCTATTGCCATGAGATAGTCGTTAAAATGTCGTCCTGAAAAGTCAAAAATAAGGCTTTTAGCGACAATTTTAAAAATGTCACTCATAATAGACTTTTAGTGACAAAATAATTTGGTCTCGAAATGATTTATTTTTTAAGACAAAAAATTTGGTCCCAAAAGAATAATAGTTCATCACTAATGTCTAATTTTTGTTATTAAAAATATAATAACAACATTTTTCGTAACAAAAATATTTGGTCCCTAAAAAATAATTTTGTTTCTAAATTTTAGTCTCTAAAACCTTAATTTTTTATAATGATTGTACTCAAGTTGGAATTGGGTTACAATTCGAACCCCATCAATTCCAGTCTAAATTTGGAGTGTAAAGGTAGAATCTATCCTATCCGAGTCTTGGAGGAGCCGATTTCAGTAGAGGATGGTAGTAGTTCAGCTAATTTGCACTTTAATGGCACAACCAAGGAAGCTTGCTCTATCATCAATGGAGGGCTTCCCCTCCCTGCAGAACTTCGGGACGATGCTGACAAGGCCGTCGCTGTGGCACTATCATCTAACGTGGAGGTTGACAAGGCAGCTGTAGGGGGTAGTCTAAGCCATGTGTCAGCAGCGGAGGAGAC